TAAGAAAACCAGAAAAAAAAAATACATTTTTCATCATTATTTTTAAATTTTTTTTAAGAATGGAAAACTAAAGAAAAATTTTTTATGACAAGAGAAAATATATTCCTTTTCTTCATCACCACGAGTTAGTGGTGATAGGAATATAAATAAAAAAATGTGACTGTCTGTCGACTTTTTATTCTTTGAAGCGATTTTGCCATTTTGGCATTTCATTGTCCTTTTTTCCCTAAAGATAAAATAATAATAATAATAATAATAAATAATTAAAAAAAAAAAAAAAAAGACGACTTGGCTTTGCCCCTACCACGCTTTCCTTCGAGGAGCATTTACTAAGCCCCCAATCCCTACGCAGTCTGAATTTAATATTTTACTTTTTATTTTTATTCAAATAAAAAATTATAATTTTTTTCAAAAACCTTGTTATTAATGTGGACAGCTTAGATTTAAAGTTAAGATCCAAATTTAATATTTATTTTTATAAATTGAATATCCAGGCAGATATACTCTAAACAATACAGATTTAATATGAATAGTTTAAATTTACTATTAAATTTTTTTATAAATTAATTATTTAGATATTCTTATAACAGTGCAAATATTTATTAAAAAGTATTTTTGAAAAAAATTAAAAAAGTTACAATTTAAATTTTTTATATCAAACTATACATTTGAATAATCAATTTATAAAATTATAAAAAAATTAAATATTAAGTTTGAACTATTAATATTAAATTTAGGTTATTCAAATTGATAACAAAAATTTTTTTAAAAATATAATTTTTATAATTTTTTATTTTAATAAAAATAAAAAATAAAATATTAAATTTAAACCATCCGTATTAATTTGGACGGTTCAAATTTGGTTAGGAGGCTCAGTAGAGCTTTTTCGAGGAAAGCCTTGGAGGGCAGAGACAAGTCCAAATTAAAAAAAAAAAAAGAGCTAAGTTGGCGTACTTTATATGGTTTCATTGTCTTATGGCAAATTGACTGTAGTACTACAAAAAAAAACTTATTTCTTGAAATAATATAAGTTTAAACATATTTCTCATTATATTACAAAGGAGAACTTGGGCACTTGGTTTCTATCAAATTAAGTTTCAAAATTTCTCTTTCTTGATACTTTGTACTGAAATTGATTTGTATCAGACTAATTTCAATACAATCATATAAAATAAAATAAAATAACTATTCAAGAGTTTTGTTTTTTTGGCTTATAGTGCTTGGTATTATGAACTTGCGTCATATCAAGCTAAATGTGGTAATTCAAGCTAATTTAAATAAGTATAAAAAATTTTAAGACTATATTTGAGAGTTTAGAATTTTCTTACTTTAAATTTATTTGGGTTGCCTCAATAAATGTAAACCCTGAGTTTTGCTCGAGCACCCAATTTTTTTTATCAATAGTAGTATGCTCGTCTTAACTCCTACTTAGCCTTCATAAACCCTTCTCCAGACTTCTAGCTTGCACATTTACACTCCTAAATTGAAGTTTTAATAATTATTTGTTTTGAATATCTTTTGAAAATGGTAATGTTACTTTTACTTGGGAGTGCAAAGTATGTGAACTAGAAGTCTTGAAGAGGTGAATGTTGAGGTGAATTGTAAAGGTTAAGTAAAAGTTGAGATGCATGTTAATTCCATATTTTTAATAATAAAAAAGAATTTAGGTATTCATGTAAAGTTTATTTAAGTTTAGGTTTGTTTAGATTTCTTTTGGCTTATTCGGGTTACCCTAATATGCTAAAATTTTCTAAACTTTTAAAATCAATCCTAAAATTTTTTTAGACTTATTCAGATTGGCCCATTAGATTTGTTTTAAATTACTACCTCTAACTTGATGTAAGCTAGGCTCAAAATATCGGGTGGTCTACACAAAAAGAGAGAGAGAGAGGGAGGAGGAGGAGGAGGATGAGGAGAAGATTTCAAAGCTCTTGAACAATTATTTTATTTTACATGGTTGTATTAAAATTAGTTTGATATAAATAAATTTGAGTACAGTTTGTTAGGAAAGAGAAATTTTGAAACTTGGTTTGGTAGAAGCCAAGTTCTAATTTGTAGTATGACTAGGTAGTTTCCCATCCGTTGCATGAATTGAAATTAATAAATTTGAAACAAATATCATTAATATTATTGATATCGACATATATGATATAACTAATTTTTTAGGACTTTCTTTATTTAATCATTTTTCTTCTTCAATGCTTTATTTGTACACATCTTGTTTTTATTTCTTGAGTTTATAGTAAAAAATCTATTTAGAAAATACCTATTCTTAGAGTGCTTAGAAAATATTGGCAAAAAAAAAAACTTCTTTAGAATTCTCAATAACCCCTCATTTTCAATTACGTAAAAAAATTATATACTAGTTTATAAATTATGACATAAATTATATTTTCATAATATGAATATAAGAAAGAATTCAAAGGGATCCTCCCTTTTTTTTTAAATTGTATTCTATTCTTTTGTAACTTTTGGTTCCTATTCTTCTTCTTTTTTTTTTCCTTTTACGTGCAAAACAAAAGAGCTATAAAAAAGATATCTTTACCACTTAAATTTTACATGTTTAGAGCACTTAAGTAATTGCCATGTTATCTTTTCAACGTAGAACATATGATGAAATATGCATAATTTGAAAGGCCAAGATCACGAGATAAGAATTGATAATTCAAATCAAAATTAAACTTCTTTTTATTTTATTTTTTTCTTTTTACAGATAATGTTTATGGATGATAATTGTTGAGGGTTAATTGATATTAAGTATAGTGAATAAGGAAAATTCATGGAAAATAGGGAAAAAATTAAATCTTATTGATTAAAAAAGAATGAAAAAAATATAACAAATGCAGAAGGATAGTCAGATGGAGTTAATGCTAATGATCATAAAAAATTGAAAATAAGACTACTCTTAAATCAATGCTCCCATGAAAGTAGATTGAAAATACACGAAAAATAAAAAAATAAATTAAATCTCATTGATAAAGAAAACTAAATATGTATGGAAAAGTACAGCAAATGGAGAAAGATAGCCAAATGAAATTAATGCTAACGATCACGAAAATTTAAAAATGAGATTACTCTTAAATCAACACTCAAGTAAAAATAGACTAAAAATACATAAAAATGAAAAATAAATTAAATCATATTAATGAATCAAGAGAAATTTTTATATTAACATTAGCCTAAAATTTGTTAACCAATAAGAGTCATTTTGTTTAAAATGGGACTATTATTGAATTAATGCCCTCATAAAAGTAGATTGTAAATACATGAAAAATATAAAAATAAATTAAACCTTATTAATTGGGAAAATTGAAAAGGCATGGTAAAGTATAATAAATGGAGAATGATAAATGGATGGAGTTATTGTTAACAATTCGAGAAATTTAAAGATGTGACTGCTTTTAAATCAATATTCTCATGAAAGTAGATTGAAAATATATGAAAAATAAAGAAATCAATCAAATCTCATTAATGATTTAAGAGAAATTTTCATATTAACACTAGCCTAAAATCTAGTAACTAATGAGAGTTAATTTTTTTTAAATGAGATTGCCTTTGAATCAATACTTTTGTGAAAGTAGACTGAAAATATCTGAAAAATAAAAAAATAAATTAGTTCTCATTGATAAGGAAAATTGAAAAGGCATGAGAAAGTATAACGAATGGAAAAGGATAGTCAGATGAAATTAATGCTAACAATCAAAAAAAATTTAAAAATGAGATTGCTTTTCAATTAATGCTCTCATGAAAGTAAATTAAAAATACATAAAAATAAAAAATAAATTAAATCTTATTAATTAATCTACAGAAATTTTCATATTAATATTAGTTTAAAATTTATTAACCAATGAGAGTCAATTTTTTTTATCAATCAGATTGAAGCTATAAGATTTGTATATATATAGAGTTGATTTTTTTTTTTATCAATCAGATTGAAGCTATAAGATTTGTGTGTGCGTGTGTGGATATATATTGATGAAAAATATTTTAAAACTTATTGGCTCAAACACGATTGGAGGTGAGTTTTATTTAAGTGAAAAGAATATAATTAATTTTTTATGAAAATATGATGGAAGTGAATTTTATAATTTTTTATAGAATTGGATTCCTTAAAAAAATCGATTCCGACACACTAAATAAGCATATTTCAGAATTTCATTTTATTTGTTCAGTTCCAATTCCAACATCTAAAAGACCAAAACGAGGCATTTACTCTTGGCTTGCCTCAAGCCAGCAAATTCACAGTACAAAAAAGAAGAAGAAGAAGATAATTACATGAAGATTTACTGGATTTGTTTCTTAAATTATTATTATAATGTAGTGTTGTTGAAATTTGTTGAGTATTATTTTTTATTGAAGTTATAAATTTAAATCATTTGGATTGTAATTAAAATATTTCTTTCTTGTTGTTGGAAATTATTTTAAATTTATGATGATTATAAATAATTTTATTATCTTAATTAAGTTTATTAAGTTAAAATGGATTATTGCCTCTCATAAAGAAAAAATAAAAAAAAATTAAGTAAGTATTGAATTAACGGAACCAATCTTTTAATTCTATATACCAAATTCAATTTTATTAATTTTTAAGTTATTATTAAATAAGATTGAAGTATGGATAACCTAACTTAACTTTTTTTTATGAAAGAAATTAAATTTTAAATTAAGGCAAAGTTGAATCTTTTGTACGGCATTAATAATAAGCATATTTATCATACTTTTATTTCTACTGCTATAAAAACTCTTACATCTTCCCCGACAGGGCATGACGACTTGCACGGGTAAAATAGGCGTTACCCTGCAAACTGCAAAGTGATAACACGTACTCCGAATTTCTTTCAATAGAAACCTTGCACGCGTACCACTCGACAGAGAGCGAGCAATTCTAGTGGCTCATGGGTCCCTGGCGCACCATCTAACCATGCAACATTTAACAGTCAACAATTGCCCAATCTCACGTGTGTGTATATATATATATATATAGTGGAGTCCGCAATTCACATCGATCAAGCGATGCGAAAAGCTCGTTCACAAAATGCCACTGCGATTAACTTTGCTCCTTTTCGCGAGTATCATTTCTATTTGGCGCATTAATTGAATCTTTTTATTTTTTTACCAGGCGCATTAATTGAATCTATTATAGCGACAGGGAGGGAGGGAGGGAGGAAGACGTAGTGAAATCTGGTCCGTGTATGAAACGAAGGACACAGGGTCGAACACCGATGCCTTTTCTTTTTCCTCCTTACCCTCTTGCGGAAACCTGCAAATTTTCATTCTTTCAGTTGTCTTCGTTAGTCAAGAATCTTTATCTACTGCAGAGCTGTTCAGTGCGCCCTTTGATCTTCCTTGAATGGCGGAGGAGGAATCGGCTTCGTCTCCCACTGTGTTGAGCATGGAGGGTCTTGACGATGTGGAGGACTACGTTTTGGTCAGTTCTTCCTCCTCTTGAGAGGTGTTTGTTTGCTGATAAAATGTTCAAGAGAATCTTTCAATAAAAGAAAAGAGAAAAAAAGAAAAATGTTGGAGAGAAATTTCATGGACTGTAATTGACTTTGTATATGCATTACTCGAATGCTCTTTTGAGATTTTGTTCGGCATTCGTTAGATCGAAATTAAATTAGTGGTGGTTTAAATCACAGAAAAGAAAGAAAGAAGAAAAGAAAAGAAAGAGCGGGGCTTTCTTGTTTTTTCTTTAAACACGTGATTATAGTTCTGGCCCAACAAAATGTGATTAGAGAAATTGGGTTTTGAAAGTTTAGGCTACGTTTTTCCTTTTTTGAAACCCCGAAAGCTTTTAAGTCCGTTGAGCAAATATTGTACTTCTATTATAGAGTTTCTGCTTGGCATATATGTTTTTTCTGGTTTTTGGGATTGAGATATAAAAATGAACAATTGAAGCCAATGGCTCTTGGCCTAGTGCCATGAAAGCTCTTGTAAGTGGGAGGTCGCATATTTCCCGTTCGTAACTTCATGCATGGCCCTCCAGATAAAAAAAAAAAAAAAAGAACAATGGAAGGGTTTCCACTTTCCAGTAGCCAAAGATTCACGTCAATGCCTTTTAATAGCTTCCTCTTTTTTTTTTTTTTTTGGTCTGTTTACTTGACAGGAATATGCTAAAAGGCAAGTTCTCTTGTTACCATGCTTTCCCTTTCCTTTTTACCGTTATTTTGGCGTTGAGAAATCCGAGGACAAAAGACAATTGAAAATGAGGGTCTTTTTTTGTGCTATTTTCTATTAAAGGAATAATAATTTAGGTTTCATATACGCTACTTCAAGATTAATACATTATATTATTTTTTTAAGTAACAATGCTTCGTTTTGCTGATTGAAAAATATTGATTGCTTAGTGTCAGCTATTTTCAGATTTCCATTAAAAACGGAGAAGTTGGAAATATGTTTGTTGGCCTGTCTGCTAGGCATTGGCAAGATTCTTCTCTATTTGGCGTAGGCTTAGTATAGATATAGCATTCTGCTGTTCATTTATTTAAAAGTTGGGTCTTCGGTGTTTCTTTTTTCTTCTTACTGTGAACTCCAAGTTGATAGAGGTATTCAGAAAATAGAATCTGATCATTTGCCCACTTGCATGTCAATAACTCATGATGTATCATTAATTTTATATTCGCTAATCAAATGCACCAAAACACTGAGCTTAATTCAGATTTTTTCAGGCATCCCAACCGGAGGGTTTGACAAGGGAAACATACCATCATGTTGTTGAACTTGTGCAGAATGGCAATGTAGCATTTCGGGATAACCGTATGGAAGAGGTGAAACTTATACTTAATCTTTAATGTGCGGACAACCGTACTTATTTCTATGACTGTTCATTCAAATATAGTGCATTGATATATAGTAATCACATGTCTTTTGTATTTCTTAACTTTGTGATAAAGTTAAAATGGATATGTTTGTATCACCTATAAGGGAAAATAAAACAGAAATTTTTAAAAAATTATAGTGCATTTCAGTGATGGAAGATTTTAACTTGAAATAAGTAATAATGAATTTTAGAGAGTTTGAATGAGACTGTTGATTCAACATCTGTTTCTTTATTGTGGAGAAATTTGGTAAGATTTATATTGGCAATGGACTATGGCCTTGTCATTATTGTAAAGATCTAATTTTAGCATGTATAGGAAATGATAAAAGAATGGTTATTGTTTCCCACCACGAGGCCACTACGTTTCTTCATGAAGCAACATAGATTGGAATCTTTCTCAATTTCCCCTGCCCCTCCTCATTCGCACTATCCGTTTATGTCTATCTGTTTGTCTCTGGTTCACTAGTTAACACCTTGCATCATATTCTGGTGGTTATGTATTAGAGACATGCTACTGTTAGGCTTTGGCTAAAATCTAGGAAAATCTTTTCCTTAGTTCCAGATATGTTTGGAGACAAGACATACATGATATAAGGAGGGCATCACCTTGACAAATTATTGATTGGCCCTTCACTGCTGTGGTGTTTGTTTAAGCGCTATGCTCATGCTAGAGTTGTGTCATTTTTCTCTAGTCGTTCTCTTCTGTCATATACAGCATGCTGTCTTATCTCTGAAGTTTTAGTCATCACATTGTGGAGAAATGATGCATTTCTCATACATTTTAGAGAGGCATTTGTGAGGAACGTCATGTATGATTTTGGAAGTGATTCAATATTTTTACAAATATTTGTAATGCTTCTTACAATGTCTTCCCCGTGCTGACCTCTGAGATTATCTGTTCAGGCGATCAACTTTTACTCTAGAGCAAATAGCATCAAGACTAGTGATCCTGTTATACTCAGTAACCGAAGTGCAGCTTATATCTGGTTAAGCATAAATAACCTGGCGTCTTCTAAATATTTATTACTGTCTTATTACAGTTTTTAATTATGTGTGGAAACAATTTACCAGAATTTTGCTGACTTCAGTGATCTTACATCAATAACATTTTTTTCCCTCTTCAACAGGATTAGCCAATTTTTAAAACACAGACCTCCATCAGCTTCAGAATATAGTCCATTGAGTGGGCTTGATCCTACAACGCATGCTGAAGTATAATTTGATGCACTGTCTTTATGATGCTGAAAATTTTGTTGACTTTGTAAATTGATTTTTTACTTAGAAGTTAACAGTTGACAATCATTTCAGCTTGGTTTGAAGGATGCTGAGAAGCTTGTCAACATCCGAAGTAGTTCAGTAAAATCGTACCTTTTAAAGGCCAATGCTCTTTATCTGGTAAGAATGTCCATTGTGGTTAATCTTTATTCTAGTTTATGGGAATTCCTGTCCTTTATCTTAATTTTTGTGGTAATTTCAAGGAAATCATGTGGATGCATGCTTCTTTCTATCAGGTGGCAGTTACTTGTTTTCCCATTTTAGGATATTTGTTTCTTGTTATGGAATAGTTTCTTAGTTGTGCTAGTTGTTGAGGGTGCATTGATGTGCTGAGTTAGCCATATATAACAAGGCATTCTGAATCATGAATGAATCAGAAGTGTAGAATTGTCCATTAGTGCTATTACAGTGATTCAAGAGTAATCAGGTTAGGACAATGGTAAAATGTCATAGGCATTCCTTGTTTTCTTGTTTTATTTGAAAAGCACTGGGAATCAATACAACAAAAGTGTCAGACTATTTAGATGTTTCATATAATAGATTGGCAAATGATTCTGTAGAGTGCTCTTAATTTTTTTACCATAAAACGTGGTCCTTTTTGTATGGTAAACTATTTTTTGCGGATCTCCTATGGATTCATTAGGCAGAGCTCACTACTTGACAAATTTAGCATTGATGCAACCCCTGATGGTACCAAAGATATTCCCTATATAACTTTAAATGACTTGCAAGAGACTGTTGTACCATGCTTCTTTGTCCATATTCAGTTGCATATATACTATGTCAATTATGTCACATTGACATTGCACTGCTTTGAGCTGACAGTTGGAGAAATATGAGATGGCTCGGGATGTTATTCTTTCAGGCCTTCAGGTCGATCCATATAGGTACCATAGACTTGGAATCCTTTTAATATCTATTCTGCCTTTTCCTTTTGAAAGTGTTATAGAGATTTAGATAGAGCCTTTGCGGCAGCCATCTACTTCACTATATTCGTCATTTGTCTGCCATTTGATTACTTTCTTGTATAATGTAGTAATTCTCTCCGGATGTCTCTCTCAAATCTGGATAGAGCATTGGCTAGTTTGGCAAGGATGAGTACACATGGACAGCCAGAGCGCAGTGATGACTTTGATTGCACTCTTTGCCTCAAGTTACTTTATGAACCTGTTACAACCCCTTGTGGACATTCTTTTTGCCGGTCATGTCTATTTCAGTCCATGGATCGTGGTTTGTACTTCCTGATGTTTATTTATTTGAAGTGGGGGCCCATATTATATATTAACTATATATTAAATTTGTTAATCCTTGTCTTAATTTGTTAGGCAACAGGTGCCCATTGTGCAGGACAGTTCTGTTTATTAGTCCTAGAACGTGTTCTGTCAGGTGGGTCATCTATTAGAGATCATGATTTAAAATGCTTATTCCAATGTATCAAACCACATAAAGGAATTCAATGATTCGAGCTACTATTATTTTGGGCCATATAGCATATAAGTAATAAATCACTTTGTTGAGCGACCCATTTTTCCTTTCTGGAAATTTTCTTGCAAAACTTCTCCACTCTAATAATATAGCATTTTCCCTAGCCACAAAATGATGGAAGAAAACTGCAGTTTTCCGATACCTATTTCAATGATTGGTAAAAACCCAATAGCTGTACTAGGCATGCTTTTAACAGGGTTACAAGGAAATGTCTTTGTGGATTTGATATGAGGTGTCTGAGACTGACTAAATTTTTTTCCTATTTTTATTTCATAACATATGGCTGTGGACTTTTCCAGTGTGACATTGAAAAACATTATACAAAAGAACTTTCTGGAGGAATATGCTGAAAGGAGGCAAGAGAATGACAATTTGACCAACTTCGGCTTAGATTTGATCCCTCTTTTTGTCATGGATGTTGTCATTCCATGCCAAAAGTTCCCCCTCCATATATTTGAACCTCGTTATAGACTGATGGTGAGTTTGTTAATAGTTGCTGATTGTTGTGGAAATTTGAATTTTAAATACATCTTGAATGTCAAGTGAGTGATTTTTATTTCTGTGACTAATATCCTTAGGAAAGTTATTTGGCCCCTTCGACTAGATGCAAGATGGTGCTGCCTGCTTGAGCTGTGGCAGGGACATGAATTATTATTATTATTATTATTATTAAGGAGAAGAAAAGAGAGATGGATTTGTTTTTCTATTTTTAATCAAGAGGATGTGCTGCTAATTTTCAATTACTAGAATGCTGGTAACATATCCTATAATTCTCGTGCACTAACTAAAAGCAAAAATAGTTATGCTGCGTCTTTGATTTCCTAGTTTAAATAATAACTGATCAGAAGATATATTTCTTGATGAATTATGAATGTACTCTTTTAAAAACTTCATTGCCATGTAGAACTTTAGACATGTTCCTTAGCGATGCTAATTAGCATGATGATACAGAGCAGTGATCCACTGAACTTGAAAGCTTACAATAGCAGAAAGTTGAACCGTGTCTTTGACTTTCTAATATTAATAATTAATAATACAACAGATCATAAGGTACATTTTTTAATATATTATGCTCATGCTTGTGTTTTAAACTTCTTTACCTAGTTCAATTCTAGACATATTTCCTAACACGGCAAGTTATCATCAGCATGATGCAAAACAGTGATGCCCTGAATTTGAAAGCTTATAATAGTGGAAAAAGTTTGTGTAAATTAGAGGGGGCATTTTACAGGGCCATGGGGAATATTGATGGATGAGATGGTAATGGATGAGATGGTAAAGTTTGTAATTTCTCTTCAATTTCACATGAGCTTCGGGGGGGGGGGGGGGAGTTATTTGTAAATTACATGTATTGTGATTTTTTTGAAAGTAATCCACTTTTTAGTGATAAATGATGTCGATAATTAACTGTTTTGAATTTGATACTGACTGAATGTCACGAGCAATATGCTCATATTTTGTACTAAACTACCTCAAGCTTTGGTTGCCTTTCCAATTTTTGTTTTTTTTTTAAAAGAAGAAGTTATACTTATTCTGCATTGTCCTAAAACAGGTAAGAAGAATAATGGAAGGAAATCGTCGGATGGGAATGGTAGATCATCAATGGTCCTTTTTTCTGTTCTTTTTCTTGATTTAGGTATAATTGACTGGCCAATTACCTTTGTTATTTGGTGGGGTTTGTTCATTCACCATGCAGGTTATAATTGATTCTGCAACAGATTCCCTCGCTGAGTTTGCCTGTGAAGTGGAAATTACTGAGTAGGTGCTTGGTATATTGTTTACTCAGAAAAGTTCATGTGATACATAACTTCAACAAAACTCCTCATGGATGCTACTTGTTTAAATCAAATTATTTTATTCGATTGTGTAGGTGCGAACCACTTCCAGATGGGCGTTTCTATATAGAGGTGCTAATATATTTGTGATTTCTCTTCTCTTGTTATGATACTTTATGGCACATTGTGAAGATGAGGCAAGGAAGTAAATTTTTTCTACCTTGCTTTCTACTTTTGTGAATGAGACACTTTTCTTTAGTCTTTTGTGAAAGAGGTTCTTGCCATATTTCCTTCTCTACTTAAGAGCATTTAAACTGGATGGGACGATGGGTTATTGCTGAACTGGGATGAGGTTAATTATAGGTGACCACATTTAGCAACTGTTTTGTGAAACTTAATGCTACAGTCAGAATTTTTCTCTGTCAAATAAAATCTGTATAAATCTCCATTATGACACGAGGAAGGTCATTTTCAATGTTATTATTTATTTATATCATTCTCTAATGCTGCAAAAACATTAACCTCACATAATGTTACACAGAATTTGTTAGAGATAGCGTTTGTTATTGTTGTTGTCGTTCTTCTTGGTTCACAAAATTAATTAGTCTATCGGGATTCTATAAATTCAAGAAAGAATCAGTCATACCGATATCTGATGAATCTGCAAAGAAACTCCTGAATGACTGAAACTTTTGCTTGTTCTAGTATCACTTCATGGCTTTCTGCCTTTCTGCGCAACTGTAAATTTATTGGAAAATTAGTGAGTTGAGTAACTTCAGTTTCAAGTTGGCGTTGCTTAAATATTTCACTCTCCTTGTTTGGTGTCACTAGTTCAAGAACACTTTTAAGGCTTCTAATGTTGATCTATATTCTCGGAAGTTACACTTTCTCTTTAGATGTTTATTCAAGTTGTACTAAATCACAAATTGCCACTGCATGCAGATTGAAAGTCGTAGGAGATTTCGTATCATCCGATCCTGGGATCAAGATGGGTAAGTTGTTATTAGGTTTTGTGTTTAAAAAATAATATTTCTGTTCATCTCTGGACTTTAGGGATATGGCCCTCATCCAATCATGCCTTCCTGATTTTTTTTATGCAGGTATCGTGTTGCAGAGGTTGAATGGATTCAGGATATTATGCCGTTGGAAGGTACACGAGAAAGAGAAGATGTAAGTTTACTGCAGTTGTCGTTCAATTTGTCTATAGCCTTTCTGACATGTTGACGAACATTTTGGTATGTTTCTAAAGGTATATGAAGCTTCCGTTTTTATAAGCTTCTTATGAGATAGGCTGGTAATTTTATTGAAATAAAGCTGTCATGTTACTGGGCACTGAGAAGCATTTTGAATATGTGATTTTGGGGGCTTACAGTTATCTTGATTCATCTTTAATATCGTTCTTTTCTCCCTCCGGTTTTAATTATAGGACACTTTTAATTGTTTCACGCATTTTAAGAAAAGTTAGTTTTTTACTTGATATCATAAAAAAGTGAGATGCATTTTTTTTTTTACTCTTAGCTTTAAATAATAATACAGCTACATTAAATACATTAATGCTAATCAAGAAAGGATAAAATTGAAAAAAGTGATTTAATTGTTACAAAGTGTCCTATATTTTTAACTAAAAATTACCTTTAAAAGGTGTGTTATAAATAGGACTTGGGAGGAGTATCTTCGGTCTTGGTGCTCTAGGTCTCAGATGGGACAGGGAGCTTCTATAAGTAACAAAAATGCACGAGAACCTGATGGAAGTACTATAATGGAATCAAGAAATAGCAGAACCTTGCTTAAAACATTAGAGTTTTGGTTGTTTCCAAATTTTTAAATTATTCTGCTTATGACTATATGGTTAAGCTCTGGCTTCAAATCCGATGATGGCCTGTATAGGTGGATCCATCATTGTGATAAATTTAATCTTTATAACAATATTTCTATTTTTCAGTTACAGGAAATAACAAATAACGCAGCAGAAAGTGCTCGATCATGGATCAGAAGGGCTAAAGAGGCAGCAGGACAAGGTAAAAGCATGTTGTCTATTGTATTGAAATTTTAAAACGTATTTAGTGATCTGCCTTTTTCTGTTTTTGAATCCTTACAATGGAAGGCGTCAGTATTAAACTACAGAATTCGATACAGATCAAAGAAGGCTCGAGAGACTGTTGAATGTTGAAGTTATGATGCCCCCTCTCCAAGACCCTGAGCGCTTCAGTTTCTGGGTGCTTTTCTCCGTCTCTGGAATATTATGTATATAATTTGACATTGTCTCTTTATTTAGCCCTGTGCCAATTTATGTTTGATTGCAGCTTGCTACCTTATCAAACCGGAGGCCTTCAGAAAAACTGGATCTTCTACGCTTGAGAGATACTCAAGAGGTATTATATTATTAAGCTATTATCTTTTTTTATGACAGTTTTGACTTAGAAGCTAAGACCTTGTACTTATTTGTTATTCACCAACCTTCGTCCTGGCTGTTTTTCCCTGGCCACAGATCATTGATATTCTTGCTTGTTATTCTTCAATCATTTTCTTGCAGAGAATCAGACGTGGTCTGATATATATGCGAGCTGAGGAACAAGGCTGCAGAATCCAGTAAAAGATCTGCTATGGCGGACTCACACTAATAATGCCAATTATATACCTTGTCCCAAACTCATTCAATATTCTTTGGCCTCTTTGAATGGCGTTAATGAGGTCATTTTTGTTGTAATTGATCACACTAACACATGAAGTCAACCCCCGCATTTTGCTGTACTATTGATCAAACTTCTATTTATTCATTTCAGCTTTATAATATAGCTCAAATTGTGAATAATAATAATGATAAAAAAAAAATCTTTTGATCAAGAAAATGCTTCTGGTCAGGATTTTAGCAGTTAAATTACTTGAATGTATTTGTTGCCAAACAATTTAGATTAGGTTATCTATAATCTCTTTTTCATGCATTTGAAGAGAAAGAGATGGTAATAGTATGTTGTAACGAGACATTCCTACATTTTTTATGCTTAAATTTTTTTTATCCTTTTAACTGCATTATATACTTTCAATTTGTAATCATAAAAATTTCCTATCTCAAATAATTCTGATTCTTTTTATATTGTCAACTTATGTCAAATACTCTATTGATTCTAGTTATAAATCATTTTAAACATGTTTTACTGGTATAAATACAATTTTAAACCTCCTTAACTCTCTTTAAAAATTGAATAAGTTTGGAACTTTTGCAAATATAGTTCATATTATATAATAAAACAAAGCAAACAATTTAACATTTAGTATATTTTGTATTATGGTTTGCTTATTATATTTGTTAATGATATATTGTTATATACTAATAGCAAAGCTTTTGTAAATTTTTAAATATTTGATGTTAAATTTTTTATATATCAATGATAAATTATTTGTATATCAATATTAATCAGTTATACTTTTAAATTTTTAAAAATTAAGTCCATATTTTTTGGACACAATTTTTTTGGGCCCGTGGGCCAATTTATTCAAGAAGTTTTCATTTTTATTTTTATTAAATATATATGAGGGAATTACAGCTAACTTTTTTTAAAAAAAATTGATCACAAATAAAGAATAATGTAGAACATAATTTATTTTTTCTCTAATGAGACATATTGATAGTCTTTATTTGTAATTAATTTTTTTAAGAAAGGCTATCTGTAATTGTTTCAATATATATAATTTAAAATATATATATATATATATTTATTTATTTATTTAACATTTAATAGAGGATAAAAAATTTGTGATAAAATTTTAATGATATACTTTATAAATGAGATAAAAAAATTATCTCTCTTTATCTTATAAATAAGATCGAAGATAGAGAGAGTATAACTTTTTTTAAAATCTAAATGTCAAATACAATGTTCTTGTGCATCAGATATATCAAGTGAAACTATCATCATCATCATCATTATTAAGATATTATCTAAATGTCAAAAATTGCATGTGCCAATGGATAGGTGAATGAGATAATAAAGAATAAATTGCATTAAGTTAAGGGTCGAATTCTCAAGGGCATTGAATTCTCACATTTAGTAAATCATACTATAACATGATTATTTTTAATAAAAAGAATACTTGTACTCAATAAAAAAAATAGTAAAACACAGCTTGCTGAGCGAACAAACGAACCAACATCGTTACGTCCCAACTGACTATCATGAACGAAACAGTAAAACAATCATTAGAAAAAGAAACCATAAAAAAAAAAAAAAAAACCACCTTTAGCGTTGTTTTTGGGGTCTAACGCATAACTAGGTTCTCCTTCGGTCCTTCCTCATTGCATTCAGTTTTACCCAGTCTCCAAAAGCTCTGAAGAAAAAGTAAATGCTTTCCCGCTCAATATCTTCTTCTGTTTTCCCACAACGGCCATCCTTCTGTTAGGTTTTCTTCCAACCTGTCATCTATGTCCTTCTTCCCCATTTCCCCCTCATCCCCCCGCCATCTCTGCCCCTCGGAAATATGGCCGGAGGGTTTACGTCGGCGGTGGTAATTCACTCTCACTCTTCCCTCCTCCTTTTTCTTCCCCTCTTCCTCCTCCTCCTCCTCCTCTTTTCCCCTTCCAATGCTACTTCCATTACTAGCCTTTTCTCGCCTCCTGTTAATTATCTCATTGATTGTGGCTCCTCTACCCAGACCCTTCTCCAAGATGGAAGAACCTTCAGGTCTGATCGCGATTCCTCTTCTCTTCTCTCCACTGACGAGGACATCCAAACTTCCGTCGACTCCATCAACCTCAACGCTTCCTCCTCTGTTCCTCCTACCTCACTCCCTTTATTCAACAGTGCCAGAATTTTTACGGATGAATCCACCTACACTTTCTATATCTCCAAGATGGGTCGACTTTGGGTTCGTCTTTACTTCTTCCCGCTTCCGCATCCTTCTTATAATCTCACCCAGGCCGTTTTCACCGTCCAAACTGATCGATTTGTTCTCTTGCATGACTTCTCTATCACCGACAATACCTCCTTTGTGTTCAAAGAGTACCTCCTTAATGTCTCTGACAGTAGATTCTCCTTAAAATTCTTACCCAAGAAGAAATCTCTCGCTTTCATCAACGGCATTGAGGTTGTCACAGCCCCTGACCCTCTTATCCTTGACACTGCTATTTCTGTTTTCCCACCGGGAAATTTTCATGGGATCTTTAATTACGCTCTTCAGGTATGTTACAGAGTTAACGTTGGAGGTCCACCCATGGCTCCAAACAGAGACCCCTTGTTAAGATCATGGGAGACTGATGCTTCCTATAATGTATTCCCACAAGGGTCACAGAATGTCTCTGTTTCGACAAAAATCATCAAATACCCACAAAATGGTGAGGTCACTCCATTGATTGCTCCGAGCTCTGTTTATTCTTCAGCTATGGTAATGAAAGATCCTAAAGTGAACCAGCCCAATTTCAACCTCTCATGGAGAATGAACGCAGACCAGAGTTTCTCCTACTTGATAAGGTTGCACTTCTGCGACATTGTAAGCCAAAACCTTAGCCAATTATACTTCAATGTTTACCTAAACGAGATGATGGGAGCTGCAAGTTTAGATCTTTCCTCTGAAACCAAAGCTCTAGCCACTGCTTTTTACCAGGACTTCGTCCTTAATTCATCCGCTATTACAAATGGGTCTATTTTGGTACAAGTGGGTCCCGCGAATCTCCAGCAAGGGATACCCAATGCGATCCTGAATGGATTCGAAGTGATAAAGATGAGCAATATGGCTAATAGCTTGGATGGATTTTTCTCTGTTGATGGGAAATACAAGGGTCCGAACGCAAACACCTTGGCTTTGAAAGTGGCTGCAGCTATTGGGTTGGGATTCTCTATGACAGCGATGTTTCTTGTTGCGGTGATCTGCTTCCGATGGCGACAGAGGCCTCATGGGTGGGAAAGTAAAGATAGCTTCTCGTCATGGCTTCTTCCGATTCAATCCACCCATCCTGGGAGCTTATGTTCTGCTTTAAGCAAAAGCAGCTCTAGAAGGTCAAGCATATTTGGTTCTCGCAAGAGCAGAAGCGGCTACTCTGGATACTTAACACCGACTGGGATCGGACGGTTCTTTCCTTTTGATGAACTCCGAAAAGCCACAAATAATTTCGTTGAAAAGGCAGTGATCGGCGTGGGAGGCTTCGGAAAAGTCTATCTTGGGACTTTAGAAGATGGGACAAAAGTTGCCATAAAACGAGGAAACCCTAGTTCAGAACAAGGCATAAACGAGTTCAGAACAGAGATAGACATGCTCTCAAAACTCCGACACCGACATTTAGTTTCCTTAATGGGTTTCTGTGACGAGAACTCAGAGATGATTCTTGTCTACGAATACATGGCCAACGGCCCTTTTCGTTCTCATCTCTACGGCTCCAACCTACCTCCATTATCGTGGAAACAGAGGCTTGAAATCTGTATAGGTTCTGCTCGTGGCCTTCACTATCTTCACACAGGTGCAGCACAGAGCATCATTCACCGAGATGTGAAAACAACTAACATTCTCTTGGACGAAAACTTGGTGGCTAAAGTTGCAGACTTTGGGTTGTCCAAGGCAAACCCAGAGAAAACCCACGTGAGTACAGCAGTGAAGGGTAGTTTTGGATACCTCGATCCTCAGTACTTTAGAAGTCAGCAATTAACTGAGAAATCCGATGTTTATTCTTTCGGGGTCGTGCTTATGGAAGTACTGTGTGCGAGGCCTGTGCTTGACCCGACACTTCCTAGGGAACAAGTGAATTTAGCGGATTGGGCGTTGCAGCAACATAGGAGAGGCATGCTTTATAAGATCATCGATCCTCGTATCGCCGACACAATTGCCTGTGGGTCGTTGAACAAGTTTGTGGAAGCTGCGGAGAAGTGTCTGGAGGATAATGGAGCGGATAGGCCTACCATGGGTGATGTGTTGTGGAATTTGGAGTATGCTTTGCAGCTTCAGGAAGCTGTTTCGAAGATCGATACTAATGAAGACACGACAGCGAATTCGATTGCGTTAGAACAAGCTAATGAGAGTGGCGAGAAAGGAGATCACTCTGGCACTCAAGCAACTGAAGAATCTGATGTGACCGATGTTGATTCTATGATGTTGTCTCAGATCGCTCACTTCGAAGGAAGGTAATTAATGTGGGATATTCGTGACATGCTGGAAAGAATCTGAGATCAAATCTTGATATGCCATAGTCGACCTTGCAAGTTATGCAAGATCTGAAGGGTTTGTTTCGTCTAGTCCCTGTCTTCATGTTACTAAGGAAGACTTGAACGTACTTTTCATGTCATCTCGCAAGTCTCGGGTCGGTGCCTGGACAAGAACATCTTGGGGTTGTGCCTTGTTTTGCTGTTCAACTTATGGGTCCAAAATGATGAATTGGTATACGGTGACGAATGCACTGGTGCAGAGAGTTGTACGTATGGCTATGTTGTGTAGTGTATTTTTTATTTTTTTTTATAAATTTTGTTGCCAGTGATATTAGGTAGTATGCTCAGCATGTTAGCACTTGGGTTGGTTTCTTCCTTCCTAAATCCTAATCATTTAATTTGAATGGTCTGCATTTTATCCTTTTTTGTTTTTTTAATCTACAGCTAGCTTGCCTAAGCGATGAAGCAAGATGGGGTTCAAATCTGCATAGTATACTTACGGGTTAAAGTATAAATATATTTTGAAAGTATTCATGAGCCACAATTGATATTCTTAAATATTTGAAAGTATAATATTGCTATGGCATATTTTTTTTAAAAATACAGATTAATTTGTATCATTAAAACTTGATCTGAGTCATTTAGATTTACCGTGGAGGCATAGGGAAGAGAAACCCAAGTCCCAAAATAGAAAGAGACAAAAATTTGTGAAAAAAAAAATAAATAGTGAATATCAATGTTTATTTTCACCTTAAAGAAATACTTCCAACCTTCTCAGCCAAAAAATTTATTGCACAAATGTAATGCATCATGTTATTTATAATCTATTCAATAAAAACATATCATATTAGCATCAATTGAATTAAATAAAATTTTGTATTATTATTCTTAATGACTTTATTTTTAGAATTTCTTGTCTTGTCTTTTCTCTTTTTATTATCACAATGATAGGATAAATTTATATTTACAATCATATAATATAGCATATTTTTATTAGACATACTATGAATAAAATGATACATTAGGTGCAAGAATTTCTTGGCCAAATAATAATATTAGAAGTTTAGAAGTTGGAGAAAAATATTGCACTTTTTTTAGGCCACAAAACTTTTTTTTGCCAACGGGCCACAATGGCACAGACCCAATATGTGAAAAGTGAACATTCGGGCCTTAATTTGGGCAGTAACATGGACGTAATCTCTGGGAAATCAATCCAGTATCTCCAAAATAGGTCATGAACTGTTATTAAGCAGAAGCTTAACCATATGTCCTCATCACCGACACCATCACTAAGGAAGATTCCGTTGCAAACTTTATAATTGATTTTATTTTGTTATGTAGTCAATTAATCCAAAAAAGTCAATCATAGAGGGAGATTATATAAGTGTCTAGTGGTTTTGGTTATCACATTTGATGATGAACCGGGTGTTCAAGTTTTGATTTTGCCAAATAAACTAACAACCACTCCAATGTATATCGAATTCTCTGAACCATTATACAAACATTTATATGCTTATTATGACAATTTCACTTTCATGCCCTCTATATTATTCCATTTCTTGCATAGACGACATCAGTCACCACTATCTGAAATTCAGTTTTAACTAATTCACAATGCTTGTGTTAGTATTAAATTGTGAGGAAAGAAGCTCAAGTCATTGTATATTGTTTTTTTTTTTTTTGGCCTGGGCCATTTATTTTGTTAAATTATTTTAGATTATCAGAGAGATTGAAGCTTGGACCATTTTTTCAAAGAAAAAATAATTTAGACTTTGTCAGAGAAGATTAGACTAAAAAATATGCTAGTATTTAAATTGATCATAAAAAATGGACTACATTAGATATTTTTTTATAATAAAATAATTTTTTCAGAAAAAAGCAACCGACACACCTTTTTTCAAAGAAAGAATGAAGAAACTAATTTGAGGCCAAGTATTAAAAGGTTGTTAATCTGGATTGGATCACCTAATTACGGTCAATTTTCAGTTAGAAAGTCGCCAAATATGTTGACATCTCACCAAGGCAATATAATAGCCAAACAACGATAAATTCTTTTTTTATTTATTTACCGAAATATAATCAAATATTTTTTTTTTAAAAAAATGTAAACTCTCTCACCAGATCCACCATTCCACACTGATGCCCACATTTTTTTCTGGCCAGACTTTTCCTTTTGATTTATAACTATCATTTTGTTACCTTTGTTCTTATCAAAATGGATTTGATTTTTGATTTATTTAATTTAGTTTAGTTTAACCCAATTGAATCGGATATTAAGTAACTGTATATAAAAAAAAAACACGTATTACAATACTGTTTGGCTAAAGAAATGGAATTTATCTGTTTATCTTTTATTAATAAAATTGAAGTAAAATAAATGTACGTTAATGAAAAAATGTGTGCAGTTATATTATACATACTCAATATATCAAGGTGCACAGTCCATGGATGCGTACAATAATTTGCAATTTTGTTTCCCTGTAAATACAATAATTTGCAATGAATCATTGTCAACATGTTATAAATGTGACGTGATTTTAAATGAAGTATATCCCTTGTAATAATCAGATAACAAGGGTTCCTTTAATCTAACTATTATTGATACAAAACAAGATAGCCCCATTTAAATATGCATTTTGATCTGTCCTCTCCATTATTATTATTATTATTATTATTATTATTATTATTATTATTATTATTATTATATCTTGGAAGACAAGAATAATAATAATTGAAGCACCATGTGAAAAGTACCTAAACTATGGTTGTGTGACCTACCATGCGGAAGCTTTGATAATTTTTGTTTCCTTTTTTCAATAAGTGTTGTATTTCAATTTATGACTGTCACAAAATAAAAAATGATGGGTGAAATGAAAAAATATATCCACAATTTATTTAATGATATAATTCAAAGAAAAACTACTTTAAAAACTATGTAAAAATAGAAAAAAAATATTTACTATATAGTACATGCTCCCTCCAGATCATAATATAAGATATATATAATTATTTTATGGTTAAAAAAGAATTAGATGAAACTTTAATCTTTTTAATTTTTTTACATCTTTCCAATTATATCTTAAATATCCTATCTAAATTCCTTAATAATAACAATTAAAATTTCATGCACCATTTTGTTTCAAAAAAATAACAAAGTAAGAATATAGTTAAAAAGTAATTGTAAAAACTAAGTAATATTTTAGACTAAACATAATTTTTAAGAGATGTATTATACTATGGTAAAGAATATACTTACTCCGTTCAAAAATATAAAGCATTTTTAATCGAATCTCACCCCAAATAAAGTAATTACTTAGTTTTAAATTAACTCTATCTTTTTATATTTATCTCTATTAAATACCTTACAATAAATATAAAATCATTATTAATAGGGGTACTTTTAAAAAAATTAATAATTACACTTCAAAAAACTAAAAATATTTTATATTTTTAAATATTTAACTCTTTTAAAAAATATTTTCATTTTTTTTTAACGAAGGGCGTATCGCATTAAACCTACAAGAAGTGTCATAAATAAAACTTGACATTGGACTGATTCAAATTCAAATTGATTTTTATTGGATTTGATGGTTTTTGGCTTCCGATGGATGTCTCCAAAGTCAACTGGATCAAAAGTTCAACCACATGAACCATTCCATTCAATTGGATTTTTTTTCTCACTACTATAATGAATGAAAAAAATACAATAAAAAAAAAAGTTAAGGTGTATTTTTATTTTGAACTGTTCTTCAAAAAATATTTAGTATCATAAATTATTTGTTATAGTAATATATTCATAAATTAATTAAAACATAATATATTTATCCTAATTAAATACCTCAATACTGATTGTTAAAAATAATGATTAGGACTTAAATCTAATTAAAAATACCACTTATCATATTAAGTAAATCTAAATGAAGGTATATTTTGTTTAGGTTTTGATTATTTTAAAGATAAAATTGCTACAATATAAATAATTTAAAATATTAAATATTCATTCCAGACTGGTTTAAAGACAAAGAAGCAAATTTAAAAAAAAAAAAAAGTTAAGAAGAGTGAGTGGGTGGGGCACATTGAATTGAATGGTTCATTTTGTGCTGATTTAAAATATTCGTCACCTGGACCTGCAAAATACTTTAGCCACCAATCCCAAGTCAATAACTTAAAGTGCTTGTTAAGAAATCTTCTACAAACAAAATAAATCTTTCCTTAGACAAGCGTGCGCAGAAACTAGAGTAGTTTTATTTTGCTTCCACCAAAAAAAAAAAAAATACTCCCTCCATCTAAAAATATAAAATATTTTTTAAAAAGTTGGATGTTAAAAAATATAAAAAAATTTTAATCTTTCGAAGTGTAATCATTATCTTTTTTTTTTAAGTGTTCTTATTGATAATAATTTTATATTTATTGTAAGGTGTTTAATAGGGATAAATATAAAAAAATAGGGTTAGTTAAAAAGTAGGTAACTATTTTATTGAGGATAAGATTATAATTAAAAATATCTTATATTTTTAAATAGAGGGAGTAAATTAGTTTTATTTTGCACATGACAAAGAAGAATTTTTCTGACATTGTATATGTTTTTAACTTCAAGAAACTATTGATATATTTTTCTTGATACAGAAGAAACTATTGATATTGATATGATATATTTAAAAAGAATGAGGAAAAAAATATTTAATATTTTTCTATTTAACTTTAAAAATGCTATATGTATTTTGAAAAAAATAGTTTGACTTGTCGAAAATTATTTTAAAAAAAATAAAGCAAAGCAATCAATTATCAACTTCCTACAAAATTAACTTAGAAGTATATTCTCTGAAAAGTTCACTTTCTCATAAATTTAGTAAATTTAACCAAGCCACCCATTAACCAAACACTAGTTATTATCATTTAGATAATAAGAGGAAACTTGAATTTGAATTGGGATAATTATTCATGAAAATGAAGACACTTAAGCTTTAAAAATTTGCTGGCCTATTATTTAAAAGTTTTTTTTTTGAAAAAAAAGTTGTACTAAACAATAGGATTTAAAATGCATATCTTGCAAATCAGCTGCTTATTAAATTTCTTTTAAAGTACTATTTAAAACAAATCTCAGGCGAAAAAGAAAAAGATAAAAAAGCATTATCTTTCTTCACCAAATGGATAAACTCCCTTAAATTCTGCATTCATACCTTCTTACCGAATAGATATACAATGAATCTGTGAATATCCTCCAAAATAAAATATCCCAAATGATAAAACTTACAAATCTATTTGAATGAATTTGTTATGATTCAATGTGGGGTAAGTAAATAGTTTCTCCAAATTCTAGTTCATACCAAATTAATCGTTGCACATGCAGAAAGAGAAGTAATCGTGGTTAACTATATTGAAAGAGGCGACCTTATCATACAACTTAAATTTTAAATTTTCGTTGGGAGAGGTTCCATATTTTGTGTGTGATCTTGCCTTGAATATCATAACTGTGCGTTATAAAAAAATTTTAAAAATAAAGAGAAGCAGCAGCAAAGCAAAGAGATGGTTTGTCTTGGGTAAGCCTGGCTGGTGAGGATTCCTATGGGTCTATAATCCATAGAGTAGTTCCAAAATCTTTGGTGAAAACTAAGTCCAAACAGCTTCACCTTTCCTTATAACAATCCATTCTACGCAATCTCTTAACACCCAACACCCTCTGAAGCTTTCATCTCCCTCTCCCTCTCATCCAATTCCGATGGATGTTGCAGGCAAGATCCTGAGAAGATCAGTTCATGGTTTCCTTCAGAACTATCACTATTTCACCTCTGTTTCTGCTTTCATGGTTCTCCCTTTCTCTACTTCTTTTCTGCTCTCTCAAGCTCTTGTCCCTTCCTCCTCTTCTCTCTTCCCTCAAATCTCTAATCGTTTGACGACTCTGTTCGATGCTGCAGGATTCCCTTCTTCTTCTTCTTCAAAAATGTTTGGCCTTTTCAGCCTCAAGGCTTCTGAAACCATCGCTTCCTCGATATTCACCCTCCCCTTCACCCTCACCTTCCTCATCATCGCTAAAGCTTCCATCTTTCAGGCTCTGAAACATCCCTACAAGCCAGCTCCCTCACCTTCTTCTTTTACTTCCATGATATCTCTTTACAAACCGCTCCTAAAAACCTGCATTAGCAGCTCGTTATTGATTATCTCTGCCATTGCAACCTCGTACTGTCTTCTGTTTTTTGCCCTTGGTGTGGTCGAAGGATTTGACGCCACTTCCCCTGATACGCTTTTCTTGGTTACATCATGTGGGGTGGTTCTCTTCTCTGTTTTTCTGGCCAATGCACTCGTCATCGGCAACATGGCGATGGCTCTGTCTGGCATGGAAGGACATGGGGGGTATTTGGCGGTTCTTAAGGCTTGTGTTCTTCTAAGAGGAAGAACATCAATGGCTTTGTTGTTGGCTCTGCCCATGAACATGGCTCTGGCTGCCATTGAAGCTTTGTTTCAATTTCGGGTCGTCAGAGCATATCGTACTGGTGGACAGGCAGAGCCTTGGATGGCTTCAGAGGCGATTTTCATTGCTTACTTGTACTCAATCTTCGTCGTCCTTGATACTATTGTAGCTTCCATGTTCTACAAAAATTGTAAGACGAGGTCGTGGATTGATGACGTAGATGCAAAATTGTTGGTCAGGATTGAGATTTCAGAGAAGGACAGTTATGAGTTCGACAGAACCAAAAATTTCGAAGAATTGCCCTGAAATATAAGGTTAGGATGATTATTGAAGTAGTCATCCAGGATGTTCTGTTCTGCTTCTTGAAGGATAAGATAAAGATGATGATGATGATGATGATATTTTATTTTTTTAATATAATATTTAAAAGTATGTATAGAAGATATTTGCTTGCAAGATTTATTTATGCTGCTTGAAGGAAATGGATAGAGCAGCGTCGGAAGACATAAAAGAGTTTGGCTGACAGAGGCCAAAGATTTATTTAGAGTCACCTTTGGTATAATTTTAGGTGTCATGGGATAGATGAATTTAAATTTTAAATTTAAAATCTTATATTTTAAATCTCACATTTAAAATTTATACATTTAAAAATTTTTACATGGATATTTTAATAAATTTTAAATGGAAAAGAAATGAAAAGAAAATACGAGAGTCACAAAAATATTAATAATAAAAAACACAAAGAGAACAAAATGTTTAAAATACATTAAACTTTTAAATGAATAGGATATAGAAAAAATTTAAAATTAGAAAAATGTTAATTTGAAATGAAAATTCATAAATTTTTGGTATCCAAATGAGGAATTTAATTCAAATTTAAATTCTCAATAATTCAAATACACCATAATTGTCCTTTTTTTTTTTTTTTTTTTTGCATTCTTGGACTCTCATGTTCTCTGGATTTCTATCTGGTACAGTAGCAATCCTTCACAGTGTAAATAATGATAGAACACAAATATGTTCATTATCTTTTATTTTAGGATCATATATCAACTTCTACACAACCTATGTCAGTCTCGCCTTTCGATTTAGGGTGTTCTGTACATCAAAAAAAGAGAATTAGGGTTTATTTGACTTTGTTTCTATCTTTTTTTTTTTTGAAAAACTATTTTGTAAACCATTTTTAAAAGAAAATAAAAAATATATTTGATCATGTTCATTTGAAAAAGAAGTTAAAATAAAAAAAATCATTTAATGATAGTGAATTGCAGTTATTAATGGCAATAGCATACGGTAGTAATCGGGCATAGTTAATGGTGATTGATGGCAATAGCCAATGGTATATGGTGATAGTTAGCGGTGGTAACATATGATAATAAGTGGTGATAAATGACAATAATTTTAGAAATTATTTAAATATAAGATACTTGCTCAAATGCTTTTTTTTTTTTAATTTCTTAAAAGTTGAAAACAATTTTTTTAAAAAAAATTGAAAATCAAACGTCCTTATAGTCTTTCCTTCTCTTTCTAGTTTCTTGAAATCACATGGCAAGCAAATCTTAAGGAAAACAGAGATAAACAAGACATGGCAAACCGAAACTGAACCTTCTTTATCCTCAGCAAAAGCATTCGACATTTTAAAACATACTCTGAGGAGAGAATTAATATGAAACATGGTATTTACACTTTGTACAGTTGGATTCTTCATGTAAAATCACATATTATCTTCTGTTCAACTCAAGTGTTCAACTTCTGTTAACAGATTCCCAAACCGTGGAATCTGTTTTTTTTTTTTTTTGGGTTCCAGAACTTCTTTGAAGGAAACTGCATGAAACGTGTGCTACAAACCAAGCATACGCAGATTTCTCTCTCTCTTTTTTATTGCAAAAACGCGTGATTTGACATGAGCCCAAATCCTACTGAACAGTGCCCAGAGGATGAACCATTTCGCAGAAGAGCCAGGGTGAGCGAAACACACTTGTAAAACATTCTTGTAGGTTTATCAACGATCACAAGAATCCTTGAACAATCTGAATGAGTGCACCTTGAAATGTCTTTAAAAAAAAAAAAAAAAAGGTATATAACCACTGAGGTGCCAAGTACAAATAGCCCCAGGCAGCTATGGTTAAACTTGCAGATTTCCTGTCGGAATTTGGGTCTTTGTATACATCAGCGTGTCCTCTGGTCCATAATGCTAAATTTCAAGAAACCCTTTACACTTCACAAAAAAGTATTTCACAAGAAAAAATAAGAGCATTATCTAACTCAGCCTGCTCTTCACTAAAATACAGTTACAATGCAGCGATTTAGTTGCTAATTTCTATTCTAAACCCTACAGCTATACATTTCCTCGATTGTATCCTACCAAAATCTCTATGAAAATGAAAGGAAGGAACTAATTTCTATGTTACATGAGAAAGAATTGAATCCTAAGTAAGGGTTAGCGCTTTGTACAAGGTTCCTCGATACTACAATACTACGGATGGACTTTAGTACTTTACAAAACAAAGCATCTGCTCTGGCGCTGTATGACGGAAGCCAGATGCAGTTCTGCAATCGAAGGCGCGTTCAATCTTCAATACCACAAAATTTCTTCTTGAAATGATTCACGAAGATCCATGGTCTTCATATTATTTGCTGGGTGCTCAGGGCATCTCCAACAACCACAATAAGAACTCATCGTCTCAAAATGTGATCTTTCCAGTGTATTCAAACACAAAGATCAATAGGCCATAAGATTCTGATTGTCCAAGAATCAACGCCTAAGCCTGTCGTATGATTCAAAGGTCTGACGCTGGAAAGAACTTGCTTTTCCAGCTCAATATCCCCTTGCCACCACAAGGGCAGACCTCTGGTTCTTTGACATAAGAGTGATGTCAGTGCAGAGAAGCCAACAGCCAAGTTATCAACTATCTTGCACTTTTCTTTGTCAAGTTAATGCCCTTAGCCTTCTCCATTTCAGCCTCTTTCTCAGCTTTCTTCTTCTCTAACTCTGCCTGTTTACAATTTTCTTCATGTGCTTTCCGAAACAACCTTATAAAATTTAGGAGAGTTGCAGTAACTGTAATCACCAAACCAGAAACAAGTAGGAATCAGCTTGAGAATTCCAAAGGAACAAATGACTGCTTATACCAAATGTAAACCCAAAGATTATGAAACTTCATTGACAAGTCCAGTCGACTTTCCCCTCCATATATCTTATTGCACATAACTACCCTCTCTTCCTTACCCCCCTCTCTATCTGTCTTAATCCAATTGTTTGCGGCACTTACACAAGGATCCAATTAGGGGCCGTCTTCTCTTTCGTTTATAAAAAAGCTGCCAAATCTCTTCCTAGTCTAACACTTAAAGAAGCAGGAATATCCTTAACCACAAGTTAAGAGATCTCAACTTAGCCCAAATTTTTAGAAAATTTACTCTGGTCACATCCATAGATTCAATAGAAAGATATCAACGAAATCTATTCAGAGATATTGGTTCAATATATTATGATCCAAAACAGTTGAAATCATCAGCATTAGAAAAAGGGTGCACGTCATACCAACAACATGACCAAATGTTAATCCTTAATTTACCTTGCTCGAATGGGCAACGGACAGGGTCCTCACCAAAATAAAGTGCAAGTGCATCCGCATTTCTACCCTGTCCATGGAGAAATAAATGGTCATCATATCTCTTTATACCACTGCATAATGTGTCAAAGGGATGATTGACATATTACCGCCACAGAATATAAATTTGATACAGATGCCACCTCTGTCTCAGCACCAACAACAAATTCTTTTGATGTCTATAAACAAATTAAAAATCAGTCCATTGCTGAAATATAAACCAAATAATAAACCATGTGAAAGTGAATGTATCAGCATTTAAAAGAAAACTAGATATTCTTTTATTGAATTATGGGTGGACATTTTTGCAGAAGATTTCCTTTTTCTCCTTTTTAACTATAATACAGGTGATAGTAATAAACAAAAGTTCTAACATATGGTAAAAAGTTTAAACGGATAAATATGCTAATTGCTAGCGATCAATGCAAACTAAGACTTAAAAACAAGAATTTATAATCTTCACTTGGACATGATAAGTATTTCCTTCTATTTGAAGTTAGTTATGTCCAAAATGACAGAACAGGATTGATTAAATCTCTTCAGCACCACCAAAGTCAAAACTTGGAGGCACATAAAATTGCTTTTGCAACAAAGCAAGTGATGCAGATGCCAAATTTTATTAATCTTAGTAGTTTTGATTTGCACAGGGGTCTTATTTAAGAATTAGAATTTTGTTTTACTTTGGATTTATTTGTTAGGAGTTATAGTTATGTTAAAATTTGATTGTGTTACAATGTTGCAACCTCTGTTTATAAACAGAACTACTGGACTATTGTTTTGTTCACTCCTTTCCAATAGATTAATATATTTGGAATGAAGTTGACTTCAGATAGCTCTGCAGGAGTTTCACCATCAATTCTATACCCAAAAGTCACAAACTACAAAGACAGCAACAATTTCCTACTGTTCAAGACGCAGGTGGGACCATAGAATCCCCAACCACCAACTTTCCTCTTCACTTTTCCATTAGTCTTGTTTTCCTAATTTTTTATGGTTTCTTAAACCAATTCCTTGATTGTATTGTGGAATATTAATACATAATCCACCGCATCTTAACATATACCAATATGCCCTTTCCTAATGTTCAGTAAATGTATCAGTCTTTCACCATTTTGCATAGGCAATTAAAAAACTTTTTTTTGGGTGGGGGGTTCTAAACGAAAGCTGAATTGATACAATTAGAGGAACTACAAGCCAATTATAACCAAAAATATAACGGGACCAGTGCTAATCTCTCAATCTAAACAAGAAATAAGGATGTGTAACCAGAAATATAAATTAAATGATGATGATAAAAATCACATTAATACAAATACATAAAAAAAAAAATCATGGTGCAGAAAACCACTAAATAAATTCAAAAATTCATTTTCATTTTTCTTTCAAAAATTAGTCCCTTTATTTTTCCCCCTAGTAAATGAACCATGAAATAACATTAAAATGCCAAACACCTTGCGGAAAACTTCAGATACAGGTCCATCGTTTTCAGATGCAGCAAGCTCCTGCCTAACTTTTTCTAATCCCTTGATGATTGCTTGCATCTCTTCAGCTAATGATTTTAATTGTATCTGCAAGGTGATTTACTAATAAGTACACATAGAAATCCAACTATCTCAACCTGACAGTCAGCACCAAAAGCACTTTTCTGTGACTAAAAATAAATCATCACCTTAGTAGCAGCTTCCAGGCTGACTAGGTCTAGGTGAAAATCAAGGAGCCCGGGTGACCTTTCAGCAAGGACCTAAACCCAAATGAGAAATATAAGCCACCAAACAGTATCTTCATCTATTGCAATAAAGACTTGTACCTTGCAAAGGTAATGCATCAGTGTCATCTTATTGTTAGAAGCACGAGTGTCTGTGAGCTTTAACAGACTATCCAACTTAAATCCCACCGCAGATCCTGCATAAAATGACAACTTTTTCACTCAAAAGTTTTGTCCACAAACTAGAAACTTTACATAGGATCAAATCCTAGAGAAATACACAAAAGGTTGAAAGGTAACACATGAAATGTCAAAGATAAACTAGGTGTTCATGAAAGAAAAGATGCTGGTCTAAGAAACTACTAACCCCTTGCTGTTCCTTGATTCAATGTATTCCCCAAATAAAGAATTTTCTTCATTATCTCCTTCAGTTTGACAGATTTTCGGACCTGAACCAAGAGAAAGCGAACAATGTCAAGAAATACACATAACAGAATAAATGTTAGCATCATGAGTTGAGTACCTCTTCACAGGCAGAGTTCACAGTATTTAAACTCTTCTTGAATTCGGTAATCTGCATAAAGAGGTAAGAATAACAACTGAAGAAAGAGAAGGAAAAAAAATCCTCCTAAGATGATTATAAAAACTAAAAACGCCAAGGAACCTGAGAACCAAACTGGATCTTGAAAGAAAATACTCTTAATTTTGACTCCACTCGCGGAACTTTCATCAGCTCCAAAAAATACTGAAAAGAATACAATCAAATATATGTAAGAGTATGATTATATATATATATATATATATCTCAAAGCCACATAAACTGTAACACATTGCCACTGTCTTGAACTTGATTTCTGTTTAAACATTTTACCCCTTTCACAATCAACTTTCACTTATAACCATACTTTTCAAACTCCTAAGTTGGTATCACTTTTCTCCTAACAATATCTGCTCTTCTCAATTTAAATGCAACCATAACATGAAAAGAGAAAAAGAACTGAACAAGATCATTTTACAATGAATATCATACATCCAATTCTCCGCTTCAATCAGAGGATGATTATTTTCTGTCACTGATATGCTCCAGGGAAGTTATATTTTCATATATACACAATTATGATTCATGCAATTTGACAACACCAATGCAAGTTAAATGCGCTCACGCTTTTCTGTTAAAAAACCAGAAGATAAAATACAATTAGAAGAAGCCACAAGCCAACCTGCTCGCACTTTCCCAAACTCTCCTTGTCCCCAGCATATCCCTGATTGCAACCAAAAGAAATCAAAATAAAGTAAATAAATCACAGTAAATGGGTGCAGCCCACCATAAAAGCATATCCCAAAAACGGAACCCTTAATTGCCAAAACAATATCAGCCATCATTATACCAAGTCTAACCTTCAAAAGTTCCATCTCCTCTTTAGTAGGACAAAATTTGATGAGATTTTCAACCTGGTCAACATCTAATACCGAATCATCCATAGCTAGTACTGCAGCCTGAAAATAACCCTTTGAAGTCGTTACATAATCCTAACAATTGATAATTACAAGTTAAAATCTCAAAAGGTTTGAGAAGTCCGCCCTCTTGCAACATGGCAAGAGATCATTAAAGAGTCTATATAAGATAAGCATTCTTAATGAGTACTTTTATATTGGTACTCAAATAGGATAGAACTTCCTATCCTTTACACAAATCCCCCACCGACCAACCACCAGAGCTACCCTTAGTGTTAATGAGTACTTTTGTCATAAAGCTTCTTGCAAAATATAGCTAACATTCATTATCAATGCCCTAGTTGCAAAGAGTTGTGAATAGGAGCATAAAAATTTCAAGGTATCAGCTTACCATCATATCAGAAAGGGGCATCTTAACCTTTGTAAGCATAATTTCAGTATTATTGGCCCTCCTTAGGTCAATCTACAATTAAAAAAAAAAAAGTTATTGCTTATACATTAGAGAACTGACAAATAAAGAGTCAACGGGAGCAATGAAAAACTACAAAAATACAAGAACTATTAATTAAAGTTGCAATAACAGAATTATAGTTTGCTCAACATGCAGGGACAACAAAACGATATATTTTATTAGTGTAATCAACATGCAGGGACAACAAAACGATATATTTTATTAGTGTAATCAACCCTCCCAATTTAATTAGCCTCATGCATCAAGAAACGCTGAATTATCTCATTGGCATATAAAATTATGGAAAGCCATAAATATGTTTCCTCCACAAATTAAGATTAAGTGCCCCTTAGAATATTCACAATTCAGATCATAATGAAGATGACTTGTTTTACGTACATTAAACAATAGGATCACATTCCAATTTAAATATAAATATGGCAATAAATGCCATAAACCTTCATGAATTGAAACAAAAAATATTGAAACTTTACACATATGGAATGAAAGATGAAGAATCATCAAGCCACCCTTCACACACATTCCTTATTTCAAAATACCAAATTTCAATAACATTATCATAGAAGGGTACCAAGTGAACTTTGTCAGGTTTGGACCCAGCAGATTTACGTCGATCTCCAGATTTACCGCCTGAACCCGCAGGTTTAGGAACATTTGCGGAGAAAAGGCTCTCTAGCTCTGAAAAGTCAAATTCTGGGGAACTAAGATAGAACATGAAACCAGTTATTACAAAAGAAAGGATGTGAAAAACACAAAGCCAGATGTATAATTCTAAAAATTCAAAATAATTAAGGCAAACAAAAGATAACAGAAATGAGTAGAATTACATTTGAGGTTCTCCATGTCTCTGTAATTCTTCCCATAAACTTCCTTGCAATGCCCTTGTCACCTTGCTCCAATGTAGAGGCTTTAAGGAGGATCGTCGAGGTGCTACTGCACCAACGCCACCAGGACGTGAAAGTCCACGCCCTCTTCCTCTTGGATCAGAATTTGAACCTTTTGAACCTAAGGGTGGAGGAGGTGGCGGTGTACCCCCTAGAGGTCCAGGGGGAGAAGGAGCATTAAGAGCACGTGCTTCAGGAGGAGGGGGAGGAGGTGGGCCTCGAACACCAGGTGGTGGAGGAGGAGGTGGGGCTCTAGACATTGGAGGCGGGGGTGGTGGAGGTGTTCCATTTAATGGAGGAGGAGGTGGTGGAGGAGGCAGTGTCCCTCTTGATGGAGGTGGAGGTGGTGGGGGAGGTGCTCCTCTTGATGGAGGTGGGGGTGGAGGGGGAGGTGGAGTTGGGGCTCCATACACAGAAGGAGGAAGTGGAGGTGGTGGAGCTCTACCAAAAGGAGGTGGTGGAGGTGGAGGGGCTTTACTAAAAGGAGGAGGAGGAGGTAGTGGCGGCGGCGGCGGCGGCGGAGCTTTATTTGAAGGGGGTGGAGGTGGAGATGGTGGTACACCACTTAAAGGGGGTGGCGGTGGGGGTGGGGGTGGTGGAGCTCTACTAAAAGGAGGTGGGGGCGGGGGAGGTGGAGCTCTACCTAAAGGAGGTACAGGTGGGGGTGGTGGCGCTTTGCTTGAAGAAGACAATGGCGAAGACAAAGAAGTTCTACTTAAGGGTGGTGGGGGTGGGGGTGGGGGTAGGGGTGGTAGAGCATTTTTCAAAAAAGGTAAGGATTGGATAGGTGAAGGTGAAGATTGGGGTGGTGATATGGGTGTAGACAACAATGGAGAAACACTCCTTGAAGATGGTGGGGGTGGGGGAGGAGGAGGGGGAGGTGGAGAGATTGAAAATCCATACCTTGGAGGTGGTGGCGGTGGAGGTGGTGGTGGTGGAGGAGAAAGGGGAGTAGGAGGGGCAACCATACTAGACATTCCAAAAACTCCTGATGTGATTGTTCCATTAGTAAAAAGAGGAGAGGGTGGAGGGGGAGGAGCAAATGAAGAAGTTACAAGTTGTGAATCCATCTCTTGGTTTTGTCTACTTACTGATGATGTTTCAAAAGGATCTACCATAGAGCTTTTACAATGAAATGGAGGGGGAGGGGGAGGGGGAGGGGGTCGTAACACTTGTGTTGAGCTACCAAGGGGGGCCCGACTTGGTGTTTGAAGACATGTCTCTTTAATTGATGGCAAGTTTTTTTCTTCCATTTCTTCTATAGAGTCCGCAGGTTTTGATACGTCCACCTTTTGACATTTAAATTCATTTGTCTTGTCACTAGAAACAGGTGTTCCAGAGACGATAGGTGCAGAGGAAGACCTTGATTTAGCATCTATAATTTTCTCCTTAGAAGAGTTAGCATTGGAAAGAGCAGCAGGTGCGCTGTTATACCTTGATGGTGGATAGTAAACGTGCATTGAATTTGTGTAAGAACCTTTGTTAGGAGGAATCCACCTAGTTACTGCATTTGGCTTTGCTTGTTTTGCCTGATTACCTTGTGATTCAAGCTGCTTAACCTTTTGCTTAGCTGCCAATGTATCTCCCACTGGCTTTGAGTTAGATGAAAGTTGTTTTTTTACCACAGGTGGTACTTTATCGTTTTTTTGTCTGGAAACATCGTGCTTCTGCTGGCCCGCCTTGGAATCTAATTTCTTCTCTGTTGCGTTGCCAAATTCATCATATTTGTTGTCCATATCTTCTAATTGTCCATGCATATCTGCATTGACGTCCTTCATTTCCATAATGACATCAGTAGTGACTATAGACTTAATTTCTCCATCATCAACAGTAATATCTTTCACTTCATGAATATTAGAATCCACTCCTTCGTCAAGTTTATACTTCACATCATCAACAGCAATGTCTTTTACTGCATTAGTACCAGAACCCGTCATTCTGTCCTGTTTCTGACCATCTGATGTACATTCCTGAAAAGCGGGAGGATCGAAGTCCTCTTTCCATACTTCTTTTTGGTTGGGATCATCTATTGCACTGTCATGAGCTAGAAGAGAATCGTAATCCACCTTACCTTCCTGCACATCAACTACATTGCTAAATATCTCTTCCACCTCATAGAATTCCTCGGGTGAAGCAGTTCCTGTCTCATTTGCATCTTCGCTTGCCCTGACTGTGGTTAGATTAGGTATAACAGCATCAGCGTCCAAAAAAAGCACCTGGTACATACATGAAAGTAAATTTAACTCCTGTTTAATGTAATGACACGCATAGAAGAATAACAATGACTTACCTCTGCTTTAAAATCCCTGGGAAATTGATCCTTAGAATCCCACAAAATATCAACCTCATCACGGTTGAGCACCAATATGTTTGAACGCACAAATGCTGTGTGAAACATAACTCTAAACATCATCTCCTCATGACTTAAGTCTTCATCCGTATGTATGCACTCAAGAACCACATCCCCTTGAACACGACATTGGATATCAATTTTCACCAGCGTACACTCTGCCTGCAGTTAAAATTTCTTAACTAATACATTCTATCTAGATAGATTAAAAATAGTATGAATAGCTTAAATTATACATCACCTGTTGGTAGAGGCGAACATGTTTTTTGTTCTTTGAAGTAGAAAAAAGTAGCTTAGAACTTCTATTAACAAGTTTTGAAGGGTCCTGACCATAAACACGAACGACAGGCCTGCAACCTTTTCCACCATCGAATAATGGAAGGACTCTAAGAATCAGACAGTCCAAATGTAAGGGCGTGTCTGATGGAGGCCACTCAGAACCCAGATTTCTCCTAGAAATGTATTGAAGATATCTCAAATGAGAAGGTTGTGGGTTCAAAGGAGATAGAAGGTGAAGAAGTTCTTTAGGAGCTTGCTTGTAGACCATTTCAAGGGTTTTTTGCTCCCCATTGTACTGTTTCCGGTACAATAGAAGACCTGCTAGCATGAATGCAAGCACTGGCCAACCACCTCTTTCGCAATGCATCAAAAGAACATTTTGTTGCCCCTCCAAAGACAACCAACTTTCACTTGATCGAAGAAAGTGATGGATCATTTCCAAAGGCAGAAGAGGACAACCCTCATATTGACGAGGGTAGTCCATAACTGTCATGTCATATTGAGACAATATATCTGAAATATGACTACGCCTCTCCCCTTCCCTGAAGTTAAACACCATGAAAGAAGCATCAGGAAAGTGATCCTGTAGCTGAGCAACGATCCCCCCCATATAAACTTTGTATTCATCTTCTTCCAAGACATCTGTGGAGAAGCAACAATCAAAAACTGCAAAACAGAGATAAAATAAGTCAAATATTTAGTTAATACAGGTGCACTGAACTATTAAGCATAACAGATTGGGCATCCGTGGCTTAATAAATAAGATCACAACTAGGCAACTAATATGGATGCAATTTACCCTGCTGATTACCTTAGCTATTAACCCACTACATCGAAACAAAAGCATTCCTGGTAAGGTATAAAAACAATGTCTAAAAGGACAAGTCCCAATGAATATGGCAATGCATCAAAACAATGTCTAAAAGGACAAGTCTCAATGAATAAAAATGGTCCACAATTCTTCAACTGGCAATCCTCCATTCATGACTTACCAGTCTCTGACTGAAACACTGTTTTCATTTCTCTATTAAACAAGTTACACCATTTGTACCCAAATTCAGACTTTGGCCTTAACAACCCAGCCCTGACCAGGGTGTAAAGGGATTGCTCCACTATCCCGTTTCTTTTTCTCCCCTTTTTTGCCCAATAACTGTCCGATTCCTTTAATATCACCGACTATCTGGAAACCGTAATCGAATCGATGCGATGCCACGAGCTGCAGACTAGTAATAAACAGAAGTGTCCAGCCATTAATTCAATTTCTCAACTTCTGCAGTGAATTTGACAGCACATCCCCCACTCTTTAGCTGAAGGTCCTCCACTGTATCCCATACATAAAGGGAAAAGCAATAAATAGAAACCAAGACAGGATTTCCCTCAGCTAAGTTCAAAGAGAGAGGGAGAAATGAACGAGAACTCTGAGATAAGAAATATCTAACACAACTATCACTAGGCTCGAAGCATTAAGAGATGAAGAAAGAGGGAGGAGAGGAGTTTATAGAAATTCGTAATTTTAACGAGTTGCCATACGCATTATCGTAAAATGATACCGACGCTTAGTAATTGAACCCTAAACCTCAATTGCTTCTTCCAAGCTTCCAATGAGCAGTACCGTAACTCCATGGGTAGGGAAAAAAGTAATAGGACAAATGCTTCCAATTTTACAATTGCTCTTGCTTTGTTAAGCTCATCAAATTAAAAGGGGAAAAGTTTGGAACGGATGAAATAGGAGAAGAAGCATACCATAAACTCTCTCGGAGATCTCCAGAAGCCGATCCGGCGGCTTCCTGTAAAAGAACCTTCTGAACAGCGCCATCAGATGGCGCTGTTTTCACCCCGATCGGATCCAAACCGATAAGTCGGTTGACCACCAGCAAGATCAAGAATGTATCGTTAAACAAATCGCACAGCAGATCTTGCAATCACCCAATTCGAAGAAGACCAGTACTGTCCAATTGAGCCCAGAAATCACCGACTGAAAGTGAGAGCAAGAGCAATAGCGAAGTTCAGAAACAGCGAGCAGGCTGGTGATCATAAGGCAAGCAGAACATCCAGAAAGAGAAAGGCGGATGCAATAGTCAAAGCAACAAAATCTCAAAAGGGAAGAAAGGAAACATGATCAAAAAAGGATAAAGAGGGGTAGATTTGTAGAATGAGGGAATGAAGTGAAGCAAAGAAGTAGTATGTGGGATTGGGAAGAAAATGTGGGAAGAACACAATCAAAAAGAAAAACAATGGCAAGCGATAATGAATTCCCACATGGAGATAGATAGAGAAGGTAGAGAGAGAGAGAGAAGCGCAGTGGACTGAAAAGGAGAAAACTCTTTGGAAGTTTAGACCTGTCTCCCTCCCTTTCTCTTTCTCTCTCTTGGCTCTGCAGCGACAAAAAATTTTGGGCAGGCAGAGGGGGCTGGGTTGAAGACACAAAATCCACGTTGGTGGCGACGTGGCATATACTATTCACGTTTCGATTGAAGAAATCAAGAATATTCATTTTCCTTCTTTCTTTCTTTTTTTTCCCCCTTCGGTTTTTTTATCTACGTTTCTACCAGCGAGGAAGAGACACACATGTTCGGACAACGAGGTGAGTTTGTATTTGTGTTTGTTAAGAAAATTACATCTAACGACCTAGATATTATAATTGTAAAACTCACTACTTCCAATAACATAATCACCGTATATACTTCTAATTATTTCATTAGAACTAATGCGATGAGAAGAATTTAAAGAGTAGACATAAGGGGCATGTTTTTTGGATACAAATTTTTTAACCAACATTCTTGATGTTACTATCATTTAATAACTAATATCGGTAGTATGGATTAAGATGTACTAAGAGGCAAGATAATTTTCTTAAACAAAATATCATTGTCAAATTTAGTCAAAATTTAATACCAAAAGAGTTTATATAATTTCTGTGATTGAATTTGATATAGTTAGCAATTACTTATGTCATTATATTATTTTTCTTCAAAATCATGGTAAATTATTGCATTTAATTATTTATAAAGTACTTGAATTACCATTAAAACATACCTATTCCTAATGATTTTAATTGCACATCTTATAAAGTCCTTCTAATTTTATTTTTTTAATATTACAAAAAACTCTTTTCACTTTTAAAATATAACAATAATTATGATTTTTTTGCCACAATAATAAAATTTTTTGCCTCTTAAGTTTGTCTTATTTATTGATTTAGTGCTTGATTTAACATTTATCAATCAAGTTTGAAAAATTTTATAATTAATTATAATCATACACAATTAGTTCTTTTAGTTTAGAGGAAAAAAATAACATAAAAAAGACAAAGACTAATTGTGTATGGTTTTGATATTGTAGTAACTTAATTTATGAAAAATAAATTTTAAGGATCAAACAATTGAAGCAATATCATAAGTTATTTGACCGATGAGTACATACACAAATTTATGTACATTTGTAGGTCACAACTTCAAATGTACTATAATCCTGTTTGGTATGAAGGACTATAAAGGTGGGATTGAAATTGAAATTGGATAATCCCACTTTTTTATGTTTGGTATGGGATAATGAGCATTCCAATTTAGTGTCAAACCCACCTTACATGGAGTTACCCAATACCACCACCACTTAGTATTATAAAATTAGTCTTAGGATTTATATTTTAAGATGAAAATGCCCTTCCAACCTTTCTAGTCCTTCCTCTCCCTCCCCTGATATGCTTGCTACTTCCTTCTTGCCATTCCTGTTGCACTACCATCTCCATCATTCTTGTCATGTCTTTATCTTTTTCCCTTTACACCCAAATCCAAAGAGGATTATTGCTAGGTTTTCATTGTTAGCATGGTGTTTGGTAACGTCTCCATTCCCTTCAGATCTAGGTTACAATTTTTAGGGACTTTAATGTTTTGAGCAATAGCTTTATGAAAGGTAGGGCTTTGATTTAGTCATCATCTTTAGTAATTAATCTCACAAGTCACGTCTATGTCTATTTCTACATTTGATTTGGATTTGTGCAATCTACAATCTTTGTGGCAATAGCTTTCTAGGTTCAACAACAAAAGTGGAAGGAAGAAGATGAGTGTAACATCCAGAAAATTTTAACCCTGATTTATTGAGCTAATGAGGATAATTAGTGAGTTAATGAGGTGTGTGACTAGAGGGTTTAACTTGGTATAATTGATGTGATTTTAGCCTTAGAAATGGTTACGAATCGATGATGGGCCACTTGGGCAAGGAAAGGGGAAAAAAAAGTGAAGAACTATTTTTTGTGCTACACGCTGCAACGCATGGTTATTCTGCTGCGGCGCACAAAGACAATTTAAACGTAACGAGCTCCTTTGTGCCATACGCTGCGATGGAGGGCATCGTGCACCTCGACGTACGGCCAAAATTTCTAATAAATCAGTTCGTGTGCTGTGTGAAAATAGAAAGGAAAAGGAAGAAGGAAATGAAGAGCTTGACTTTAGCTCTGCTAGGGCATGGCATTGTGTTCTATTAAGGCTAGATTGAAGCTCCCAAACACTCAAGGTAAGATTATGGTGCCTTCTTCTTCCTTTCTCTCCCTCATTTATGATAATTTACGGTGCGGTTTGAGTTAGGAGATGGATTTTTAGTTCATAAAAGTATGGGTTTGATTCCATTAGTTAAAATGAGTATAATAGAAGTTATTTAATGTAATGGAACACTACATTGATGATTTTAAAAGTGATTGATCTATGGAAGCATTTATTATTCAAAAATTGGTATTTATGTGGTAGTTGGGAGAGGTTTATGTGCATTAATGATGGTTTAAGGTGTCACTAATAATAATGTACATTAATAAAATCTAATGAGCCCATTGGATATGAATGGATAGTAATTATGAGTTGATAAAAATAGAGTGTATGGAGTTTTATGTTAATGAAGCTTTAAAAATTAGACAATGATGATGTTCTTGTGGTTTGGATATAGAGAGGTTTGTTTTTGATACCATTCAAGCTTGTTGAAGCTTTAAAAAGTTGGTATAGTGAGGGGTAAACCTTTGACCTCTCAAAGATTTGAGGTAACCGAAAAAAACTTAATCTTTATAGTTAAATGTTAATTGTATTTGTGAAATGTGATTTATGAGTTAAATTAATGATGCATATTGGCAAACTGCTTGATTTGTGAAATGGTTTTTGAGAAAGAAAACCTTAATTTTGCCACCCTTAATTTTTTGCAAAATTGATTGTGATTTATTATCATGGGTAGAGAGTTGTGGTATATTATATGTTAAATTGTGGAGTATCGAGTTATGTAAGTTCATGTGCAATGAATCGACTGTCAAAATGCATATTATATGAAATATGTGCATAGCATGATTATTGGCGAGAGTTCGTTTAGAGAGAGGAGTAGATTGGTTGAAATTCACGTGGTATTGGAAGTAACTGTTGGAATCAAGAACTAGCCTTGGTACCGACCATTAGAATCGGGAGGTAGCCCTTATTTCATGGTTGTTTTGGACTGTCCCACCTGTTCTTTAAGGGATTTAAACCTAACTAGTCTCCACTAATTTATAAGGAGGCTAGGTTATGGGTACGACACCCGATGGTTATTAATATTAAGGGAAACTAGGTTAGTGAGTTCATCCTGACTCGATAGCTTCTCACAAGTGAAAGGCTGGGTTAGTCCACGAAGGATGTAACCACATGGTAGCCATCGATTTTGTGTCGGAGGTAACAGGAGAATATAAGGTTAACAAATGATCGTGCATATAAGTCCGGCCACATGATTATTAGTTTTATGATCCGACATGTGTTGAGGGCACATGGTTATTATTTTTGTGACCCTGAGTTATGTTTTTGTGAAATAACATGATATAGTATTTTATGGCAAGCTTGGTCACATGGTTGTTAGTTTTGCAAACTATGACCTAGTGTTATGTGATATATATGCTTGTTTGCCTAATTGCATCTATTTACGATTAATATGCAACTATAAGGGTTAAGTGAAACTTAGTTATTGAGTGGTTATACTCACTCCTCAATTCTCAATATTTTTAGAACCTAGCTCATTGGATTTAAGTCAGCAAAAATATACGGAGGCTTAAGATTTATGGAATAATCCTCTATATGCCTCTCTTTTGTTACTTTCATGTATATTTGTTAATATAATTGCCAACTACGATTATTTGTCATAATTTATGCACTACTTGCATGATTTTGTGTATAACTAGTATATTTCGTGCCTTGGGTTAGTAAGTTTTAGTTATGAACCTGTGGATGGGACTAAAATACTTGTGCAAGTAGAAACATTTATATTTTGAGAAATTTGGAATGAAATAGTTGATTTTGTGCAACTTTTCTCCCCATTATGTTTTATGAAAATCAGGGTTAAGTGATGATTTCATAAGATAAGCATTTTTAATTGTGTGTAATATATTGTACGAGTCCACTAGAGTCTATTGAGTATGGTCGAATGGTTAGTGTAAGTTATTGGCATGTATGGTTGAGTTAGGACACCCCATTTATGAGATTTTGTGAAAAAGTGGTCAAAATGGGTTTTAGTGTCCAACTTTCTATAAAAAATGAGTTTGAGTGTGAAACTAGTGCCATTAGCTAAAGTTAAGAGAGAGCTCTGTGTAGACACCGAAACCACCTAAATTGGATGTCGGACAGATATTTGGGACACATTGAAAGTTTGCTCCATATGTTGTTAAATGACAGCACTGATCTATCAAATTTCGTACAATGCGCCACGACGCATGGCGCTTCATGCTTCGCCATGCACCACAGCATATGACACAGAGGAGACACTTATCGGCTCACGAGCTGTAAGCCACGGTGCACATATCATTTTCTGTATAAAATTTATTTTTGAGTTTTAAAACTTATTATTTAGGTTTTAATTGATTTTCAAGCTTTCGCTTTATTTTTAAAACTTTAATTTGGAGTCCTTAAATTATATGAGATTTGAATTGTTAAAAAAAAAATTGAGATTCCTTTGAAATAATTTTGAGAAATTCCTTTTATTAAGCTTTACAATTTGATAATCCTTTCAAGGTTAAATCCCAAATTATCATAATTTAGAGTTATTTGTGATTTAACCTCAGCAAGGTTACAATGAGGGCATTCAAGTCTTTTTTGCCAATTTTTGTTTAATTTAAATATATATATATATGTGTGTGTGTGTGTGTCTCTCTCTCTCTCTCTCTTTTTGTTTAATCCCATGGCATGCTAAACATACTTTTAAAACCTACTCCCACTACCAATCCTACTCCCAATCTCATTCTCAATCCTTTAAAATTTAATATTTTGTACCAAACAAGGCCTATGTAACTTCTTATCACTGAAGTTCAACAAAGAAAAATGAGAAACTTGAATGAGTTTGTTTCATTTATTTTGATCCTTATACCTATAATAGGAACTAGCATTAGAGTTTGATTT